GACCACCCTATACACCCATAGAGGCCACCACACACCCTCTGACCAATTCTAGTACACCCATAGAGGCCACCCACACACCCTCTGACCAAATTTAGCACACCATAGAGGCCACCCACACACCCTCTGACCACCCTAGTACACCCATAGAGGCCACCACACACCCTTGAGGCCACCACACACCCTCTGACCACCCTATACACCCACAGAGGCCACCACACACCCCCTCTGACCAACCCTAGTACACCCATAGAGGCCACCACACACCCTCTGACCACCCTAGTACACCCATAGAGGCCACCACACACCCTGACCACCCTAGCACACCCATAGAGGCCACCACACACCCGTGAGGGCCACCACACACCCTCTGACCACCCTAGCACACCCATAGAGGCCACCACACACCCTCTGACCACCCTAGTACACCCATAGAGGCCACCACACACCCTGAGGGCCACCACACACACCTCTGACCACCCTAGCACACCCATAGAGCCACCACACACCCGGGGCCACCACACACCCTCTGACCACCCTAGTACACCCATAGAGGCCACCACACACCTCTGACCACCCTAGACACCCATAGAGGCCACCACACACCCTCTGACCACCCTAGTACACCCATAGAGGCCACCACACACCCTCTGACCAACCTAGTACACCCATAGAGGCCACACACCCCTGACCACCCTTAGTACACCCAGAGGCCACCACACACCCTGAGGGCCACCACACACCCTCTGGACCACCCTAGCACACCCATAGAGGCCACACACACCCTGAGGCCACACACCCTCTGACCACCCTAGTACACCCATAGAGGCCCCACACACCCTTGAGGGCCACCACACCCTCTGACCACCCTAGTACCCCATAGAGGCCACCACACCCTGTGAGGGCCACCACACCCTCTGACCACCTAGTACACCCATAGAGGCCACCACACACCCTCTGACCAACCCTAGTACACCCATAGAGGCCACCACACACCCGTGAGGCCACCACACACCTCTGACCACCCTAGTACACCCATAGAGGCCACCACACACCCTCTGACCACCCTAGTACACCCATAGAGGCCACCACACACCCTTGAGGCCACCACACACCCTCTGACCACCCTAGCACACCCATAGAGGCCACCACACACCCCCACCACCCTAGTACACCCAGAGAGGCCACCACACACCCTTGAGGGCCACCACACACACCCTCTGACCACCCTAGTACACCCATAGAGGCCACCACACACCCTCTGACCACCCTAGTACACCCATAGAGGCCACCACACACCCTCTGACCACCCTAGTACACCCATAGAGGCCACCACACACCCATAGAGGCCACCACACACACCTCTGACCACCCTAGTACACCCATAGAGGCCACCACACACCCTGACCACTACACACACCCCAGACCACCCCACACACCGTTGAGGGCCACCACACACCCTCTGACCACCCTAGTACACCCATAGAGGCCACCACACACCCTGAGGGCCACCATACACACCTCAGACCACCCTAACACACCCTTGAGGGCCACTACACACCTCTGACCACCCTAGTACACCCATAGAGGCCACCACACACCCTGAGAGCCATTACACACACCTCAGACCACCCTAACACACCCATAGAGGCCACCACACACACCCTCTGACCACCCTAGTACACCCATAGAGGCCACCACACCCTAGACCACCACACACCTTAGGCCACCACACACACCCTTGACCACCCTAGTACACCCAGAGGCCACCACACACCCTTGAGGGCCACCATACACCCCAGACCACCCTAACACAACCTGAGAGCCACCCATACACACCTCAGACCACCCTAACACACCCATAGGGGCCACCATACACCTCAGACCACCCTAGCACACCCTTGAGGCCACACCTACATCAAACCACCTAGCACACCCTTGAGAGCCACCACACACACCTCAGACCACCCTAACACACCCTAGGGGGCCACCACACACCCTCAGACCACCTTAGCACACCCATAGAGGCCACCACACACCCCTTGAGAGCCACCACACACCCTGAGAGCCACCACACACCCTGACCACCCTAGTACACTCATAGAGGCCACCACACACCCTTGAGGGCCACCACACACCTCAAGACCACCCTAGCACACCCTTGAGAGCCACCATACAACCTCAGACCACCCTAACACACCCATAGGGGCCACCACACACCCTCAGACCACCCTATACACCCATAGAGGCCACCACACACCCTGAGCCACCACACACCCTTGAGAGCCACCACACACCCTTGGGGCCACCACACACCCTTTGACCACCCTAGTACACCATAGGGCCACCACACACCCTTGAGAGCCACCATACACACCTCAGACCACCCCAACACACCCTTAAGGGCCACCACACACCCTCAGACCACCCTAGCACACCCCTGAGGGCCACCATACACCCCCACAACCCTAGACACACCCTGAGAGCCACCACACACACACCTCAGACCACCCTAACACACCCTTAGGGCCACCACACACCCTCTGACCACCCTAGTACACCCATAGAGGCCACCACACACCCTGAGAGCCACCACACACCTTGAGAGCACCACACACCCTTAGACCACCCTAGTACACTCAGAGGCCACCACACACCCTGAGGCCACCATACACCCTCAGACCACCCTAGCACACCTGAGAGGCCACCATACACACCTCAGACCACCCTAACACACCCATAGCCACCACACACCCTCAGACCAACCCTAGCACACCCTTAGAGGCCACCACACACCCTTGAGAGCCACCACACACTCTAGAGCCACCACACACCCTTGGGGCCACCACACACCCTTTAGACCACCCTAGTACACCCATAGAGGCCACCACACACCCTTGAGGGCCACCCACACACACCCTCAGACCACCCTAACACACCCTTGAGAGCCACCATACACACCTCAGACCACCCTAACACACCCATAGGGCCACCACACACCCTCAGACCACCCTAGTACACCCATAGAGGCCACCACACACCTTGAGCCACCACACCCTGAGAGCCACCACACACCCTTGACCACCCTAGCACACTCATAGAGGCCACCACACACCCTGAGGGCCACCACACACACCTCAGACCACCCTAACACACCTTGAGCCACCATACACACCTCAGACCACCCCAACACACCCATAGGGGCCACCATACACCCTCAGACCACCCTAGCACACCTGAGGGCCACCATACACCCTCAAACCACCCTAGCACACCCTTGAGGGCCACCACACACCCTGAGGCCACCACACCAATTCTCAACCTAACCCAACATATCAATACACTTGGTAACAGCCCCATCTCCCTCTCCTTCCCTCCTTTCATACTCCATTCCTACCATTTTTCCTCCCCCTCTCTCCGCCTCCTCCCATTCCTCCTCCCCCTCTCCCTACCTCCCCTTCCTCCTCCTCCCTCACATTCCTCCTCTGCCTCTCTCCTATCCCTTATCCCCACTACCCCTTTAGACTCCCCTATCCCCCTTACCAAACTCAGAATCTCCCCACCTACCTGAAAGATCCCCCAATCATGCTGACACCCCCTATCCCCCTCCACACACACACACACACACACACACACACACACACACACACCGGAACACGTTAATATAGTCTTGCAAGACATTCATAAATCCTTGAGCAGAGACTTGACCAGGGCCCACCAACACGGCGACCTGGAGGGTGGGCAGGGGCGTGAGGCCTGGCACTCCTAGGACGAGATTAAAGGGGTTAGGAAGAGGAGGAAGTGGTTGGTCTAGTGGTGGTAGTGATGGTGAGTGTACAAGTGAGGGCGTGGCAGTAGTGAAGCGACTATTGAGTGGATTACCATTTATTACTACCATTTCTACTACTATTTCTACTATTAATTTCACCACCACCCCTAACCCCTCCAGGATCAACCCCTTCCCCCTCATAGCATCATCCCTCCCCCTTCCAGCAACCAACCCCTCCCTCCAACCCCTCCCTCACAGCATCATCCTTCCCCCTTGCAGCATCAACCTCCAACCCCTCCAACATCCATCTCCCTCGCCACCCCCATCAACCCCCTACCCCCTGCCTCCCTCCCCTCACAGCATCCGGTCCTCACGACTCACTACTCCGGCACGTCGATCATGTAGAGTATTTGACACTGCCGCCTCATGAATCTTTCTTCCCTGTGTTATTACGGCGTGTGTGTGTGTGTGTGTGTGTGTGTGTGTTGCATACCAACACACACACACACACACACACACACACACACACACACACACACACACACACATACAGCATCTTTTTTATTAAAAAACTACTTAACTAGTGACCTATCCTACAGGGGTTGTTGGCCCTGTGAACCTAACCTAACCTAACTTAACCATAGCACTGAGGCTCATTAAGGACTTAGATAAGGTTAAAGAAGGACCCGGTAGTACAAGGACCTGGTAGTACAAGGACCTGGTAGTACAAGGACCTGGTAGAACAAGGGCCAAGTAGTACAGGACGGTAGTACTAGGACCTGGTGGTATAAAGGTCAGTCTAGGGCCAAGTAACAAAAGAACCCAGTAGTTAACAATGACCGGTAGGGACTTGAGAGGGAGGGTGGGGGGAGGAAAGGAGGTGGGTGGGAGTAGAAGGAGGGCACATAGACCACTCAGCCAAGCCAACAGTAGGAAACAGAGATCGAGTCGAGTTAAATCTTGTTACGTCCACTCAAAACCCTCTCTTTCTCCCCTCACCCCCCCTTCAGCATAACCCCCCCCTCCCTCTCCCCTCCACAACCCCTTCCAGCATAAGCCCCCTCCTCTCTCCCCCTCACCCAATCCCGCCACCAGAGTCGGTCGACTTGACGCTGTTCTGGTTTTACCCGAAGCAACATGATGAAGTGTGTCCCCTGGCTGCTGTGCTGGGGCGAATCTTCACCCCAGTGCATGAGAGAATGACACCCGCTAACCCTCAGTCAACCTGGTGAGTCTACCTGGTGTGAGTCTTCTTGGTATGAGTCTTCTTGGTGCAGAGTCCTTTGGTGTGAGTCTTTTTGCGAGTCCTTTGGTGTAAGTCTTCTTGGTGTGAGTCTTCTTGTGTGAGTCTTTTGGTGGAGTCTTTGGTGTAAGTCTTCTGGTGAGTCTTTTGGTGTGGAGTCCTTTTGGTGTAAGTCTTCTGGTGTGAGTCTTCTTGGTACGAGTCTTCTTGGTGTGAGTCTTCTGCTATGAGTCTTCTTGGTGCGAGTCCTTTGGTGTAAGTCTTCTTGGTGAGTCTTTTGGTGCGAGTCCTTTTGGTGTAAGTCTTCAGGTGAGTCTTCTTGTGTGAGTCTTTTGGTGAGTCTCTTGGTGTGAGTCTTTTTGGTGTAAGTCTTCTTGGTGCGAGTCTTCTTTGGTGTGAGTCTTCTTGGTGTGAGTCTTCTTGGTGTAGAGTCTTCTTGGTGTGAGTCTTCTTGGCGTGAGTCTTCTTGGTGTGAGTCTTCTTGGTGGAGTCTTCTTGGTGTGAGTCTTCTTGGTGTGAGTCGTCTTGGTGTGAGTCTTCTTGGTGTGAGTCTTCTTGGTGTGAGTCTTCATGGTGAGTCTTCTTTAGAGTCTTCAGAGTCATCTTTGGTGAGTCTTCTTGGTGTGAGTCTTCCTGCAGTGAGTCTTCTTGGTGTGAGTCTTCTTGGTGCGAGTCTTCCTGCAGTGAGTCTTCTTGATGTAGTCTTCTTGGTGTGAGTCGTCTTGGTGTGAGTCCTGGTGTGAGTCTCTTGGTGTGAGTCTTCTTGGTGTGAGTCTTCTTGGTGTGAGTCTTCTTGGTATGAGTCTTCTGTTGAGCTCTTGGTGTGAGAGTCGTCTTGGTGTGAGTCTCTTATTGTGAGTCTTCTTGTATTGAGTCGTCTTGGTGTGAGTCTTCTTGGTATGAGTCTTCTTGCAGTGAGTCTTCTTGGTGTGAGTCTTCTTGCGATCTTCCAGTGAGTCTGATGAGTCTTCTTGGTGTGAGTCTTCTGGTGTGAGTCTTTTTGGTGTGAGTCTCTTGCAGTGAGTGTGTTCTTGGTGAGTCTTCTTGGTGTGAGTCTTCTTGGTGTGAGTCTTCTTGGTGTGAGTCTTCTTGTGAGTCTTCTTTTGAGCTTTGTGAGTCTTCGTATTGAGTCATCTTGGTGTGAGTCTTCTTGGTATGAGTCTTCCTGCAGTGAGTCTTCTTGGTGTGAGTCTTCTTGCAGAGTCTTCCTGCAGTGAGTCTTCTTGTGTGAGTCTTCCTGCAGTGAGTCTTTGATGTGAGTCTTCTTGGTGTGAGTCTTCTTGCAGTGAGTCTTCTTGGTGTGAGTCTTCTGCAGTGATCTTCTTGGTATGAGTCTTCTTTGTATGAGTCTTCCTGCAGTGAGTCTTTTTGGTATGAGTCTTCTTGGTGTGAGTCTTCTGGTGTGAGTCTTCTTGCATTGAGTCATCTTTGGTGTGAGTCTTGTTGGTATGAGTCTTCTGCATTGAGTCATCTTGGTGTGAGTCTTGTTGTAGAGCTTCTTGCAGTGAGTCTTCTTGCAGTGAGTCTTTGCAGTGAGTCTTCTTGGTGTGTGAGTCTTCTTGGATGAATCTTCTTGGGATGAGTCTTCTTGGTGTGAGTCTTCTTGGTGTGAGTCTTCTTGGTGTGAGTCTTCTTGTGAGTCTTGGTGTGAGTCTTCTTGGTGTGAGTCTTCTGCAGTGAGCCTTCTTGTGAGTCTTCTGCATTGAGTCATTTTGGTGAGTCATCTTGTGTGAGTCTTGTTGGTGTGAGTCTTCTTGCAGTGAGTCTTCTGCAGTGAGTCTTCTTGCAGTGAGTCTTCTTGGTATGAGTCTTCTGGTATGAGTCTTCCTGCAGTGAGTCTCCCTCTTGCAGTGAGTCTTCTTGCAGTGAGTCTTCTTGGTGTGAGTCGTCTTGGTGTAGTCTTCTTGGTGTGAGTCTTCTGGTGTGAGTCTTGGTGTGAGTCGTCTTGGTGTGAGTCTTCTGGTGTGAATCTTCTGGTGTGAGTCTTCTTTTGGGGTGAGTCTTCTTGGGTGAGTCTTCTTGGTGTGAGTCCTTGGTGTGAGTCTTCTGGTGTGAGGTCTTTCAGGAGTCTTTGTGTGAGTCTTCTTGGTGTGAGTCTTCTTGGGGTGAGTCTTCTGGTGAATCTCGTGGTGTGAGTTCTTCTGGGGTGAGTCTTCTTGGTGTGAGTCTGTGGTGTGAGTTCTCTTGGGGTGAGTCTTCTTGTGAGTCTTCGTGTGAGTTCTTCTTGGTGTGAGCCTCTTGGTGTGAGTCTTCGTGTGTGAGTCTTCTTGGTGTGAGTCTTCTTGGTGTGAGTCTTCTTGGTGTGAGTCTTCGTAGTGAGTCTTCTGGTGTGAGTCTTGGTGTGAGTCTTCTGGTGTGAGTCTTCTTGGTGTGAGTCTTCTTGGTGTGAGTCTTCTTGGTGTGAGTCTTCTTGGTGTGAGTCTTCTTGGTGTGAGCTTTGGTGAGTCTTCGTGGTGTGAGTCTTGGTGTGAGTCTTCTTGGTGTGAGTCTTCTTGGTGTGAGTCTTCTTGGTGTGAGTCTTCTGGTGAGCTCTTGGTGAGTCTTGGTGAGTCTTCTTGGTGTAAGCTTCTTGGTGTGAGTCTTCTTGGTGTATTCTTGGTGTGAGTCTTCTTGGTGTGAGTCTTCTTGGTGTGAGTCTTCTTGTGTGAGTCTTCTTGGTGTGAGTCTTCTTGGTGTGAGTCTTCTTGGTGAGTCTTCTTGGTGTGAGTCTTCTTGGTATGAGTCTTCTTGTGTGAGTCTTCTGGTGTGAGTCTTGGTGAGTCCTCTGGTGTGAGTCTTCTTGGTGTGAGTCTCTTCTTGGTGTGAGTCTTTCAGGAGTCTTCTTGTGTGAGTCTTCTTGGTGTGAGTCTTCTTGGTGTGAAGTATCTTGGTGTGAGTCTTCTTGGTGTGAGTCTTCTTGGTGTGAGTCTTCTTGGTGTGAGTCTTCTTGGAAGACCGTGAGGAACAGATAACATTTTAGAACAACTACCCCCAAGAAAGTGGCCAAGACACGAGGCGTAAACACAACATCTTCAGGTATTCCAAGAAACACAAAAACACCTCAACATATCCTGGTTTAGCCACTGTGTGTGTGTGTGTGTGTGTGTGTGTGTGTGTGTGTGTGTGTGTGTGTGTGTGTGTAAGGTCGAGGATTCACTCAAAGGATACCCCAGTAGTGAGCTTTTATTTTTTACCTGTACATATTAATTAGTACTCACCTCTCCACCTTCAGCACTTACCTGGAGAAGAAAGATCATTATTATTATTATTATTATTATTATTATTATTATTATTATTATTATTATTATTAATATTATTATTGTCATCATTATTATTATTATTATTATTATTATTATTATTATTATTAATATATTATAACAAGGAACAGATTCTCTTGTCCGGCCAAGAGCCATTTGACACTTGACCTCTTTCACTTCCGGCAACCTGACCTTTCCACCGGACACACGCTCCTACCACCTGCCGCGTCCATAACTCGTTATATACCAGTGCTGGACGCATATAACGGACGAATACCGGTTGAAAACATGTCCAAACGTGTAGAATACTCGTTCAAAACAAGTATAAATACCCTAACACTATCTGGGTGTTAGGTTAGTGTGGGATTAGGTTAGGTTAGATGATCCACATATAACTACACACAAAACGACCAATCACCGTCCTTACCCATGACCTAACCACCACCTGGAGACGATCACCGTCACACAAGGAAGGGCCTCTAACCACTCACTGGTGACCTGACCTGACACGCGACCAATATCCTGTAACTTGACCTAACACGGCTGACAGGCTGACCTACCAGGGCAGCGGGTCAGGTCACTTTACGTGCTGGTCAAAATAGATTAATTTGTTTCATCTCTCTCCTGGTACATACTTGAGCACTGATTAACTGATTGAGTGATTACACACACACACACACACACACACACACACACACACACACACACACACACACACACTCACCCACCTACACCCACCAGGTAATCTTAGGTATTCGCTGGATTAATTACCTTAACCTGTCCGCTCACAGCCGCTTTCCAAAACACCACAACCAGCAGTACAAAAACTAAGGCAGACATTTCCGCTACAGAACAGGTCTCTTAGGTCTCTCTAGATAGCTCTCTCTATCTAGCTCGCTGCCTCTATCTTTCTTTACCTCTATCTAGCTCTTGCTTTCTCTCTATCTCTCATTATCTAGCCTTTATATATCTCTCTCTGTCTCTCATTATCTACCCTATATATATTTCTTCCTGTCACATACTTGCCCCCCCTCTCTTGCCCTATACTTGCTCTTGCTAATCCACTTTCCCCTGTTCCTCCTACCCTTCCACTCCCCTCCCCTGCACTTCCCCGGGGCACTAGAAGAAGCCACAAAAACAGACGAACTTCACCCTAATGCCCAAAGGTCCATAGGTTTTAATTTCCTCGTAAGTGAAAATAACGAGGACGTATCTGACTGACTCACTTACGCTACGACACAAAGTTGGCGGCTAAAGATGGCGACTAAAGTGTGCCAAGACTCTACCTTAAGTGGAAATAGTCCTAAAGAGTCTCCCAAGTACCTACGTTAAATCCTTCCACAATCTTCATTATTTTCTTATGTTCTTAAGACCTTTTAACTTCTGCAGATCTTCTTCAGGGCCTTCTGATGCTTTCTCATCACACCCTGGCGATTTTTTTTGCTATATCCGAGGCCTAACGACACCCACGACCTACCTTTCCCGGCAGCCAAGGCCTACCGACACCCACGACCCACCTTTGCCGACAAACCAGGCCTCCCACACGGCCAACATCCCCACCGTCCTCCACCGCCACCCAACCAGCAGGATTTCGCGCCATTTCTGTTACTTTCCCGCGCACTATCAGTGTTACGTCAGCTGATGCGTGCCTAAGATGGCGTCCCCAGATCACCGGGTCCCCCACAGACACCTTCCCGCCTTAAAATTCTTCCTCAAATTGGGGGATTTAAGAGCGTATCTAATTGGCTGAGATGTCCTACTTAAATGGGTCTGGAATAGCTTTTTTGGCTATTTTTCGTTAAATCGACTTAGTCTGTATTTACGAACAGGTCTTTGAGAATCTGGACCTAACCTAACCTCTTTCGTTGTCTTGGTAATAAATATTTTATTATTAATATTAATATATATATTATTATTATTATTATTATTATATTATTAATATTATTATTCCGCCTTAAGTCACAAACAGCTCACAATCCATCAAGACTCGTCGCATGATACTTACGCCATGTCATGCGTTACAGAAGGTCATGTCAGGCAATGTGTTACAAAGGTCAGGTCAGGTCAGGTCAGACGGCTCCACCCTCTATGTAAACAAAAGTGACAGTCTTCTAAAAACCGAAAACTCGTAAAATATTGTTGGAACCAAAATACAAACCCGTAGGTGATCATTCTTTGTCTTCGTTGGTGTGAATGTTGACAGTCTTGCTGAATGTTGAGGGTTTAGTGAATGTCAAGTCATGTTATTTTTAAGAATGTTATAACTAAGATTCAATACACCTTAGATCCTTATGGTAGTTTGAAGATTATGAACGATAATTGTAACTGTGAACGATATTGTAACTAGAACGATACTTTTAGATTATGTGAACGATAATTGTAACTAGTGAACGATAATTGTAACTAGGAACGATACTTTTAGATTATGTGAACGATAATTGTAACTAGTGAACGATAATTGTAACTAGTGAACGTACTTGTAGATTATGTGAACGATACTGTAACTAGTGAACGATACCTTAGATTATAACAAATTTAACTAGTGAACGATACCTATAGATTTGTGAACGACTAACCAAACGATACCAATTATGTGAACGATAATTGTAACATGAACGATACCTAATTATGTGAACGATAATTAAAATAGTGAACGATACTTGTAGATTATATGAAACGAATTGTAACTAGTGAACGAACTTCTTGTAGATTATGTGAACAAATTGTAACTAGTGAACGATACCTACAGATTATGTGAACGATAATTGTAACTATGAACGATACTTAGTAGATTAATGAACGATAATTGAACCAGTGAACGATACTTACAGATTATGAACGATAATTTAACCAGTGAACAATACTTGTAGATTATGAACGATAATTGTAACCAGTGAACGATACTTGTAGATTATGCGAACGATAATTGTAACTAGTAAACGATACTTATGAGGTTATGTGAACGATAATTGTAACTAGTGAACGATAATGTAGATTATGAACGACAATTGTAACTAGTGAACGATACTGTAGATTATCAGAACGATAATTGTAACTAGTGAACGAAACTTGCAGATTATGTGAACGATAATTATAACTAGTGAACGATACCTTTAGATTATGTAGAACAGTAACTGTAACTAGTGAACGATACCTTTAGATTATGTGAACGGTAATGAACTAGTGAACGATAATTACTAGATTATATGAACGATAATTGTAACTAGTGAACGATACCTTTAGATTATGAACGGTAATTGTAACTAGTGAACGATAATTTAGATTATGTGAACGATAATTGTAACTAGAACGATACCTTTAGATTATGTGAACGATAATTGTAACTAATAAACGATACTGTAGATTATATGAACGATACTGTAACTAGTGAACGGTAATTGTAACTAGTAAACGATACACATTATGTAAACGATAACTGTAACGTGAACTATACCTTTGAATTATGCGAACAGTAATGTAACTAGTGAACGATAATTCAGATTATGTAAACGCAATTGTAACTAGTGAACGATACTTAGATTATGAACGATAATTGCAACTAGTGAACGATAATTATGAGATTATGTGAACGGTAATTGTCACTAGTGAACGATACTTTAGGTTATGTGAACGATAATTGCCATGAACGATACTTGTAGATTATGTGAACGATAATTGAAACTAGTGAACGATACTATAGATTATGTGAACGGTAATTGTAACTAGTGAACGATACTTGTAGGTTATGTGAACGATAATTGTAACTAGTGAACGATACCTGTAGATTATGTGAACGATAATTGAAACTAGTGAACGATACTTGTAGATTGTGAACGATAATTGTAACTAGTGAACGATATTTGTAGGTTATGTGAACGATAATTGTAACTAGTGAACGATATTTGTAGATTATGAACGATAATTGTAACTAGTGAAGGATATTTTCATTATATATTAAGTCAGATAAAATGAATATATTACGTCCCCTCTCCCACACCCACACACCCTCCCTCCCCACTCACATCCCTCT